GTAGTTTGAAAAAATTAAAAACTGAATGAAAACTTACCATGCTTTCGATATTCGTCCGCATCCATCCTGTGTTTTTTGTGATGCTTTTTGAAGATCGGTCTTTGTTCACGCAAGACAAATAAGGAAAATTGATTGGAGATGATCAACAAATCTTTGGCCGTGGGTTTGTTTACAGAATATGGGAACCTCTGGTTTTTAGTTCTAAATTTATTGAAGCTTAGTCTTACAGCAAAACAGAAGTGTCATTTTATCCCGCTACTACACCATGATGAAAGGGTTGAAGGGTACAAAAATCACCGGCTAAAATCAATGCTTAAATCCTATTGGACTATTCAAAGGTTCACTTTCAAATAACTTCAATATTGAGTTAACAAATTAAAACGATGAGATACTACTTAATTGTTCCAATAGGTACGAGAACGGCCATATGCCCTATTTTTCAGGCAGCAGTTATTTGAAGGATTTTTGAGCACCATTGGAAAAGTTATTTTTGAAAAAACTTAAAAAATTTTGGCGAGCGCCGCGCCCCAAAATTAGAATATATTTGCACACTGAATACGCCGCAGCCACCGGCGTGATATCGATGAAATGCAAGACTACTTTTACTTCAGGTTCAAGTTGTAGCTGGTGTCGTGTGTCGTATAATTTTTATAAACATTTTTTTTGAAGAATTTAAAAAAAGTTGACTGCCATTATCAAATATAGGGTGCTAAAGCTTGAGTGGATTTAAATAGACCACTTAGTTTGCCTCAATTCAGCTTAGAACTTTTATGAGCGCGGAATAATTCGCCATAGTACATTTGCGCAATCAATTTCCTAAGTATTAGTCGAGAGCTGCAATTGCATTTAGGCTAGTAGCAAGCATACTGGCTGGGCAATCCGAAGACTTCCGGATCAACTCCCATACGCAGTAAACTTTTGCAACCCAAACATAAATATTCCTCACTTTCTTTAAGAGTTGGAAGAAAAAGGAACAAATGAGTTTTTGTGTCGAACAATGTAGCAAACTTTAAAATAGATGTAAGTCGTAATCAACTTGAAGAAAACCAACATTATAAGTTTTATCTTAAGGGTAAAATTACGGCCCACCTTTAGTCCACAAGTTAAAGTCGATGTGAAAACAGTGAAAACCAAAAAAAATTGAAGCAAGTGATTCAATGGTGCCGCTATCACACTTAAGTTTGAAAACAAAATTGAACATACCAAAAAACTCGTATTGGCGCAAATACTGTTTTATTGTCTTCTGTGATCAAAGCTTTTCAAAACAACTTCAAAAAGCAGTTAAAAATATTCCTTTTTTAAGGAATATTTATGCTCTTGGTAGTTTAATTTTTTCTTCTTAAATAGCATCTTTTAACAGAGTTCAAAAGGTATTGTTGTCCTGATCTCAAACTTTAAATAATACTTCACCTGTGATCATTTTTCGTAAAGTTATGCGGGATTAAATATTGCCAATATGGTCACATTTGGTTAATTATTGCGCGATACATAAATAAAGAGATCCATTTTGTTTTCATTTTCAAAAACAATGGCCAGCTAACAAAAAGTTGATTGTTCTAAATCATATTTAGAATGAAATTTATTTTATACACTAATCACACCTGATTAAGAAGCTAGCCTTGATTGAAGAACGCGGGTTGAGATTGTGACCATGTTTCCAGACTGCCGCGATTGAAATTGGACATTTTTAGACCACAGCGACCAACAATTGGTTTTCCAGTCTTTGTAGGCCGAAGCAATGTATCCGCGACCGGCGCGATCGATAGACAAATTACCGTGACGGGCGTGATTGAAAGAAACCGTGAAGGGCGCGATTAAAAGACCGAAGAAAAATTAACAGCAACCAGCGCGACCGAAGGAAAGTTGGCAACAATCGGGAAAAAAACTACAAAAAATGTCTGAAATGAGTTCGACGCTGGTAAAACAATCGACCGAAGAAATTTTTGGATTAAAAAAATTAACCTGAAAGTATAACCCATAAGCACAATTCGACTGTGTTCGATCAACAACAAAAAATTCAATTGTGTTCGAACGGGAAAAAAAGGCAACTGATTTTGATGGAGAAAGTTTTCCGACGAGACAAATTTCAACCTACAAATAAAACCTGTTTTGAATCGGCTTCACTATAGATTGGCTTTCGGTCTGGTACTCGTTGGCTTACTTCACCGTCGACTAATTAAATCGAAGAATTAGCGAGGCTCGGGATAAGTTTCCAGGTTTCAATGAAGTTGTTCAAGCGCTCTGCGCGTGCATAGTAATCGTACAATGACTCAATTTTGAGGGCGATAACGAAAAACTAAGCTGACTTAAAAGAAAATAAGTTTGACATCAAAACATCAAGGCTACGGGCTAGCAACGTGAATTTTTTTGTGAATCTAACGTTTTCAATTTGTCGAAAAAAACTAAACAAATGTTTGTTTCGTTTTTCATTATTTACTCCAAAAAAATCGGTATGCATCAGGAATTTCTCAACAACTAGTTCTGAAGTTTTGCTAGTTCTGAAGGGAAAGTTGTTCAAGTCCACTTTCTAACCTAATCAATATGAAGCTTTTTTTATGTTTTGAGCTGAAGTATAATAAAGTCTACGAAAGCTCAGTTGCTGAGCGATTGGCTTCGAGATTGCGGATTAATTTATCTGTAGATCTTTCTCAGAAAACTTTTGGCGAGGATTTCAGCTGTTTCAGCAAGATATGGAGTGTCTACATCATTAGATTGATCGTAACTGCTTTCAAACAAACTGCTTTCAAACAAACATGATTTAAGTGTTACTAAAAAATGGCTCCTAAATTACTAATAAATGGCTACTAAAAAGATATGAAAAAGCCAAGTTTTTGGAAGCAGCATCAAAACTGAAATTTTGAGCTGCGTGTAGAGGCTTCCAAGTTTCTTGAGCTGGCAACTGATTGTTAACTCTAATCTTAGTTCTGGATGTTTAAATCTAGCCCCACTTGTGATCCAGCTTTATTCAATTCTTTTTTTGAAGAAGCATCGCCCAAATGCTAATTTTTCCTTGATAGCTGTTCTGCAAGTTTTTCTGGAAAACAACTTCAAGTTAATGTTTTTTCCACATCTAGAGCTGGATCTGCTGCTTTTTACACTAAGCCTAGACTTTATCTGTGGTTCAATTTGAATATCTTTAAAACTCACAAAGGCTATATTTTATGTGGCGCGCACTTGAAGTCCTCAAAAACAAATGCTAGAAAAATAGTTTTTAGGAATTTTTTCTGAAGAGTTGGTGTGCTAAATTGTTTTTACTGTTTCAATTAGTAACTTTATTTGAAAACAATCAATTATTTTCATTGCAATTTTTTTCATTGCGAGACGATGCTTAGATAAAACTTAGGTAGCTGTCTTATTGAACAAACTGCGTTTTTGCAAGACTTGGACAGGGTTTGAAATTCATCATTTTTGTAACCTCTGCAAACATTCATAAATTTTTTAAAAAGTTTTAACGGCTCTGTAGTTCGCACTTAGGAAGATAAGGGCATAGAATGGAAAAAAAACTTGGAGACAGAACTTTAAGATAAACCTTGGAGACAGAACCTTAAGAGCAAAAAAAATTAAGCATTGCAGTATCTAACAAATTATAAATATTCCTCTATTCTTCAATGCATCAGCTCTTAATTATTGTTATTGGCACATTGCTTTGTGCAGTTCCTGATTGGTGATCAATAGTTTTATTGTCTAATTAAATCAAACTGCAAGAATTGCGCTGCATAGATGTTAGCTTCAGTTTTTCCAAGAAAGCCGGAGGATAATTTATTTGAAGCTGACCAACTGGTTTTTTTTATTCATTTGCTTTTTATTTGAGTTTATTAGTTTTCTGCTGCCATTCTGTAACTCCGTAAAAAGCTGCCTTTAAATCATTAAATTTTTGAAAAAATTTTAAAAATTTTCGATGTTACAATGTTGTCATGAGCTGATCTATGGTTGCTCACGAAATTGTTTGTTTGCAATTTTGTGACTTTGATTGTCTCAAAAAATTAGTATATTGGTGAAAAAAGTTTAGTACAGTCTCTTGCTTGCTTAAAGATTTCAAATCAAAACATAAGTATACAACAGCCTGAACACTATCATCAAGTTGATTTTGTAAGGTAAGTGTTAAAATGTTTCCGTATTGATGGGATGAATTGATGGCATGGTATTAATTTTTTGCTGTGAGTGTTTAGGCTTCCGGTAATTCTAACGTGCAGTAGTCTACAGTTTAATTCAGTAACAGCGCAAAAAATTTGGTCAAATTAGGCTCTTTAAAAAGGTTTGAAAAAGTTCAGAAAATCAATTTGTTCGACCTAAAAAAAGGTCGACAAAACTTTCCATTTTTTTCTTGAAAATCCGCCCCCCCCCACGAGAAATTCCCAGATCCGCGCCTGATTTAATTGGTACAGCTTATAAGTTTAACGGTAGGGTGTTTCAGAAAAAAGCAGTGTTCAAGGTCAAAGCAAAATTTGCACAAAACTGGAGCAAGCAGTGCAATTTACTTTATAATTTGTCCAGCCATTGAATTTATTTAGAAAAAAAACTCAATACGACTAAAATTTAGCGCAAAATCTCTGGTCTTACAATTTTTTTTCTGATAAGAAGCTCTTGTATTCTCAATAGATCAATTTTGGATACTGCCCATTTGCTTTAGAAGTGTGTTAAGGGATAGTATGCTATAATACTAGAGTGAAAACAATGTCTGTTTCAAGATGTTAATTCAGACTTTGAAACGGTTTCTTGTGGTTTTCTCTCAAGCTTTTAGGTCAGACCGAATTCTGTATCTGCCGTACGGAGATCTGCCTCTCATCTGAATCGCCTCGGTGATCAACACTGAACGACCTTGATATAATAACAATAATATGATTACAGATAGCAATATGAAACTCAAGGTTAGTGTACAGCAAGATTACCATATAATTACTGCACATGCAGTATGTGCTGTACCTTACTCCCCCGACGACAAATAAATTTTATATAACAGCTTATAAATTTTATTAAACAAATAGGAAAGTTAGTACTCAGTTTACTACGTTTTTTGTCTTGAATCCTTTTTCTCCGATATTCTATTTCTCTTGCTTTATCAGTTTCTTGGTTTCCAGTATCTTCCTCAAAGCGCAATGGTACACGCCACGATGCGTTCCATGTTCTTAAGATATTTAAGGCCTCACTCCCGAACTTCCTTCTAAATAAATGTTTTTCCTATAAGCCAAAATCTGATTCTATTGGATTATTTGAGTCTGCTCGAAATATTGCTAATTTCATTCGGTCCGCTTCGAGAGCTGCCTTGTTCAAGTCCGTGATGTCTTGTTGCGAACTTATGAGTTTAATTGAATGCTTTACTGGATTTCCATAG